TCAATAACTCTTAAATTGGAGGTAATAACAAACAGTTTATCTCGTTTTTTAGGTTTAAGCACATAATGTTAATTTAATAATGTAATTTATAATATTTGCTAAAATTCATAAAAGGCAGAAATATTAAAAGCATTAAATTAAACACAATAATTTGCAGACAATTTAGTAAAAAAAAAGGACAAGAAAACCCAACCTAATTTAACAGAAGTTGGGAAAAATACAATGTTCGAAGTAATTACTGTTTTTCTACTCCCCTCTGTAAAATACCTAATTACGCACCGATCTAGCGTGCGGGAAGCGTCACTTTACCACGTCAGTTTCGTTTTCCATGAATCCGAGCCATTTCCGGGATTTTACCGCACCAATTTGGGAGAAATCGGTTGTTTTCGGAGATATTTCCCACGCTTTGAATTTTGACGGTCATGTCAGTGAATGTATTCGTGTTGTTTTGCGAAAATGGACCCAAAAACTAAAGGTCGTAGAAAAAGTATAGTATGCAACACGTTCGGTAAACTTTTTAACTCACTCGTTTATTAAAAACTCGCTCCGCTTGTATCAAATAAACTCGTGAGTTAAATGCCATTTACCGCGCTTGTTGCATAATATACTATTCTCTACTCTCTTTCCCACGTGAGTTTCATGTTCCACAGATGTTTTGGGAATTTTTACCGCACGGCTTGAATTTTAACGTTTATCGCACTTGTTGCATAATATACTAATTACAAATGTTCTGGATTCCTCCTGCGTCTGTTATCTTATCTGTTATTTTAAAATTTCAGGTATGGAACTTAAAATATTCTACACGTGAAACGTGAGTAATGATGTTAGATAGTTCGGCTACGTGCTCCGGAAGAAAACACAAACAACGCCTCGCCGCTACTAACCAGAACTGAACAAGTTGCTGTTTAAATTTTATTGGCCATTTCACTGGCAAAAAAGTAAAACGCTGGCTGGCATAGGCGTTCGATGTTGTGACGCAAGAATGAATGGCCAGTGAACAGACAAAAGCCCCCTGGTGCTTACGTCAGAATCCCTTATTATGGTCCTTGATCTTTGAGCCCTTTTTTAGGAGATTATAGCGTGTTTTTGGTAAGCTCCCGGGATACGGAAAATGATCGAGTTCATTGATTCCTAATTAAATCCAGAGGTTGGAGGGTGATATTCAAGGAACAAGGTTAGGTGTTCGGCTCTAGCTGCATTAATAAAAATTTGGTGTACATACGAATTTGGTGAAGAAATATTTTATAGTTTATTTTTATGCTGCTGTATTAGTCAAATTGTAAGTATTATCTTAACATATACAAAAAGTAAAACGTAAAATATAGGAAACATAGACATTTTCTCTGATATGATACACTTTCTCTAGTTGACATACTAGCCAAATTATTTATTTAGCTTTTAAATACACTGAATTGCAAAAATTGAAAAATCACACAATTTTTCAGTAATTCGATGCCAAATTTTATCCTGCGATTGTTATAGTGTCAATTTTTTTTCAACTGCTCAAGCAAGAATGTTTTAGAGGTTATAGAAATAGAAATAACATACTATATATTAAATTTTTAAAACATTTGGGCTTTCAAATCCAAGCCTCCAAAAAACATATTTTTGAGAATCTGATATATAATATACAATAAACATGCAGTCGCTCCCAAATCCGTGGCTAAAGTGTCGGAAACGTCCGAAGTGGTTTGTGAGAGTGGTTAATGAAGCTGACGTGCCGTGATCTCATGCGTGGAGTTTCACAAGTTGCGATTTCATTTAACACAGATAGAACAAGAGCTTTATTTTTTTTTTGTTATAATTTTTTGCAGATTTAACATTACAAAGTATTACACACATACGAACAGCCACTGACCTTGACCAAAGCTTAAATTGAGTTGGATTGTTATATTTTTAGGCAAACTGAGGGTTCGTTTGTCCATTCTGTGGTGGTGTCATAAAATAAGACTTTGCGCATGCCCGGGTATTTAATAGCATGGAGTATAAAAACGTTCACTACCGCAAATAATAACCGAGATAACCGGCGAAACTGTCGAAAACTACCCCACTCTTTGAAACCATAAGAAACGAAAACCATTCGAATTATTAAAAATTATACATGTTAATCTTACGATAGATGCTACATAATATAGAAAGCGTTGGTGGTACAACTATCACGTTTTTCTCGTAAGAAAAAAAACCGTTTACATTAAATTATTAAATGAGTTTCATTTGGAAACGGGGGCGGAAACAAAATCTGAAAAAGTTCCCCCAGTCGCTAAATCCATTTCCATAAAAACCACGGAACGGCGTCAAAAGAACAAACATATCACTTCGGCTTTTCAGTCTCCCGTCGTATTTTGCTGGCGAAGTCGATTGAAATAGTGGATATCCAAGTCGAAGCCTCCATTGAAAATCAGTGTCATTTCCGTTTCCACGGAGGATATGAAGATATAGCTAACATGCTGCGGCATTATAACGGTTGCTGATGTTTTATATATAGGAAGCGGGAGTAAAAACAATTTCCCGATTATACGGGGTGTTTGGAAAAATTGGTAGAAACCTCGTGGAAGCGAAAGTCGTGCCCAATGGGTCTTGGCCAATATTTCTTAATACATTTTTTCTGATTAACATGTCGGAATGAAACTTGCAAACCATAATCATGTTGGAACATATCAGAGAACAAGCAAAATGTGTCCGATTTGAAAATCTTATTTTTTGAATATAATTGAAAAATATTTATGCTTGTTAAAAGACACGTTTCAAGTTTATTGATTTAACAAAACTTCATTGCGCACTTGAGTCGTGCGGTCGTTTTGCTCAAATTTAAGTTTTGGTTAGATAAAAAGAAATATTCTGTCACATTTTTGATTCAGCTTTGCAAGTGGGGCTTTTGAAAAGCTGATGACGCTTGGCTTGTCAGATTTCAAATAAAGTTATTCAAACTTGCTAACATGCTACCTGAAAAGTCGAAAATCGATTCATTATTTTTAAAAATACATATTTTACGGATTTGTACACACGTAAAAGTATGTTCTAGTTTTGTAAACATATAAAAGTAGATAGTACGTAAGCTCTAGTTTAATAAAGTAGATATCAATTCCAAGATTCCAATGTAAAAAAAAAATCGATCGATTATCTTTAAAGATAAGAATTTAACGAATTTGTACACATGTAAAACTAGATAGTCTGTATGTTCAGGTGTTGGTTAGAATACAACACTGATAAAAATGGACACTCTAAGAAAATCATTATAAACATTAGGAAAACAAACAACATAGTTCGAACACGAATGCTACAACTGATTTGCATAGGGAACATACTTTCACTGTCAAAATTATTTACCGCAATGGAAAATATTCCCGTCCAGAATTGATTAATCGAGCAGACAGGCCGTCGCTAAATTTATGCATACGGTAATTTAAATTTTATGAGTGTTTCGCGGTAAACATCTAGCTTAGAAATTTAAATCCGCTGGGATAAACTGTCAATTCAGTTTTCAATGTCATTAAGAAGGCAATATTTTATATTCGGCTGTTTCATAATCAACAACAAGGGCATAACGGTGATTTGATTGTCAAATAACAGTATGTCATGCCATATATATAGAGTTGTTAAAAATTCTACCTACGGAAGGAAGAGTAGTTGTTTTGTTTATTACATCACTTAAAATTTCAAGACAAAAAGTTTTTGTCTACAGTTGTTGCAGTTTTTGAGGTATTGAGATCAGGGAGATACTTTTTTATGGGTAACGTCTCCATTTTTCTCGCTGAACTTTCTTACCGCGTGCTGTTGGTGGATTCTAAACTGGAAAATGAGGCTTCGCTTTTGTTTAGAACCTCAACCAGCCTCTCGTAATTTATTCGCATCTGCGATCCTTATCGAGAAAAATGAAAATCATTTTCTGGCCTTTGTAAACTTTAATTAAAAATTTTAACGAAACAATCGGGGAAAAGTTGGGCCTTTGACTGGTATTTTTATTTTGACTTTTTGAATTCATTTGAAGTAGTTCCTCAATTCGTAACATTTTGAAATTGGTTTGGGTGCAATCGTGTATTTGTTAATTTCGTTTTAATTGGTATAACGTTCAAATGGAAAATATGCCACGAATATTGAAACCTTAGCACTTTGTTGATGGTTGAAGAAGCGTATGCGTATATATAAAAAAAATATGTTAACGTAATGTATATCCATAAGAAATCTTCAGTTAAGTTAGTGTATAATTGAAAAGTGAAATAAAAAGGTATCTCACATTTTTTCTAAGAAAAATTTACAGCACACAAAACATTTAAAAAAAGTAAAAACCATTATTAAAAGAAAACTAGTATCAGAAATTATAAAAAAAAGATATAATTGAATTAAGTGATGCTTCAATATGGTTCGATGAGGATATTCTCCATCAAAGTTTCTCTAGAAACCAAAAATCCGCATTCTTGAAATTGGGACATAGAAGTGAAACACAGAAAAAGTTTCGATATTGCCAAATTCCCCAATAGCATTTAAACCAAAGTATTATCATTCTACCCATCAAAATACATTATGATTTTGATAGCCAATTTATCAAAAAAAGGATAGTTTCAACATATTCTTTTTAACAGAATTACAATGAATAATAGTGGTCCAGTACCAACTGCTACTGTTACATTTCATTATCGTGCTAGACCTAAGATACACTATGTAACTATGAACTCTAATAAGATGTATACAAGAAAGGTTCTGATCTCACATATAATATCATACCCTAAATATGAGTGGTCCACACCAACAAGTTAAATAAGAAGTTTTATTAGTCAAAACAGGTCTAAATAACTGACTAAATTTTTGTTAGAAACCTGAGCGGGATCCACTTTGATTCTTTCAACCTCAATCTGCTCCACAACCTGCTCAAAATCGACATCGATAATTCCGTGAATTAGCACAGAAAAAACAAGATTGTAGGTTACAATCTTGCCCTTCTTCCCATTTTCATAATTCACGGCTATTAGAAAAATTCAATCATAAACAAAAAAATATATTACCTGTGACCGACTCAACATATGTTTCCTGGCGGGGGGCAAGTCTACATGTGCCGTGCCCCCGGCATCTTGGGGCTCCCTACCTCCGTGCGGCAGACCGCTCGCCGAAGGCAAGACGGAGCTGGCAGTTGCTGGGGGTGGCAGCAGGGGACGCGTGCAATCCGGCTCTGACTTGGAATCTTTGAGCGCCGCCTCGGCCGTTGAGACGACCGCCTGGCGCATCTCCAGGGAGTCCAAATGATTGAGGCTTCTAGAGCGGACCTTGAAGTATTGAAAATGTTACTTTGGATTCGCAATTGTACAGTGCATCCAACTATAGTCTGTCTTGAGAACCATAAAAATAAATTAGGTATTATTGGAGCATTTTTCTGGAAAATTTTATGGAGCAAATCATATTTGGATATTTCCACCATTTTCGACGTTAGAGGGCGATTTGAAGATAAATAAAATATAGCCCTTTTCTTTACAGATGACCTTAAGTAGAATATCCTATTAAATGGTGGTAATTTTGCTCTTTTTAATGAAATATTATAATTGGCGAACTAAACATAGATAAAATTAATAATAACGATTTCCCATCAGTATGTGGGCAATAATAATAATTGCGGTATATAACCCCGTAACTTCCAAAGATGCGGAAATATAAATACTGCTTTCTCATAAAAAATATTGCAATAATACCAAAGTTATAAATGTTTATCTTTCTCAATAAGGGGACAGAAAATTGGCGATGCACTGCACACGAAAGTGTCCGTCATTTTTGGAAATTACTACTTTCTTGCGCTTACGTAAATTGTATTATATTATATAATGTGGTATTAACTATGGAAAAATGGGATATTTTAAGTGCAGTAACTCACAGGGTGGGACAAAAACCGTGAACTAGAGTGCAGTACAGTAAAGTACTCTTTTCTCGAAAAATCTAGTAAAATTGAAAGTTGTGCCTAAATACCAAGTCAATGCAAACCGTTCATCTATTAACTTATTTAATATTATTCAATAAAATCCATTTCAATTAGACTTGTAGAAAGCTAAATTTCCTACTTCCATTATAATTCCCATTTTCACCTTAAGAATAAGTTTTGTGTTTGATGAAGAGGTACTTATTTGCACAAAAGTAAATAAATGTAAATGGTACAAATATAAAATATGTATACTTTAAGTCAAAATTTTTCCAGTTTTATTTTATTGAAAGGAAATTACTTGAGATTTGCCTACAACTTTTAATAAGTAATAAATAACTTTTCTTAAGAATATATTATATTTGTTAATTCACATCACATAGTCATCATATAATAAAGTTGATTTGTTCTTTACCGTGGAAAAACTAAAAAAAGAAACGCTGTAAGCTATATGCTCACGCTCTAGTTCGTCCGATTGAGGTCGTACAGATTAATGTTGGCGGGAATATAAATCAAACTGAAAAATTCCTTTTAAATCAACTTTGCTACCATCTTCCGGGTGCAAACGTTGTTCCTAAAATTTACGATCCGCCAAATGTCGAATAAGAATTTATGGTTCGACGTCGTTAATTTAAAAAAATTTAAATTGAGAAACGCCATTAAATTTATTAAGTTACAGGAAGGCTTCTCTCCCGGTTCAAATTAACTACCGACATAGTTAATCGATTTCAACGAACTTAGGGTGGTCGAGATGGAATTCGAAGCAGTTAGTGCTCTAATATGGCGAATGGAAATAAACATTCTTCCTGCTTAAATCTCTTAAATATAAAATTATTTGCAAAATTGTTAAAGTCGATAATTCCAGTATTAAATAATATTAAAAATCATTTTAAGTCGTTTAGTTTAAGTTTAGTTTAAGTTAAAAATTGCCCCCCCCCCATGAAAAACTTTTTAATTTATATATTTCCATGAACGATTCATTCATTCATTAAATTCTGAATGCCGAGAGATGAAAAAAACTAAGTTAATCTTGTAATTTCCCTGTTTCAGGTATACAAAATCGGCAAGCGAAGGTGTCGCTTATACAAAGGGATATGCTCTAAATTGAACTGGGTTAACCGTAGTTCGCGCGGACGTCACTAGGGCAAATTAGAAAGCAGTATGCTCCAAAGAAACACGATTTTTTTTAGAGCATTGGAGTTCAAAAACTTCAGAGAAAACAATTTTAGATGAGGAATCACAATGCAGAAATAATTATAAAATAAAAAAAAGCATAAAACACTCCGGTTTCTCCGCTTTGTTAGAAGCTAATTTTTTAAAGACATTTCTCATATGTGACACAAACATTTGTCTCAAACAATACACCTCAATGGAATAATCACCACAACCTTTGATTCGCCTTTGGTTTTATGGAGCAGCTGGGAATAGTATATTTCATGGTTACACCCAAAAAATTATTATTATTATTATTAAAGCTCTTCAATTAAAGGAACACCGGAATAGAAATATCGTACACGATTCTATCTCTCCATCCACAGCAGATTATGAAAAACTAGTCACTGTCAAGTTCAGAGATGTTTAAGCAAAGGTCTCTCTGAATTCATGATGTTGAACAAAGCAAGTAATGGGCTGACAATATTGGCTTGTAAAATTGCCAACTGGAGCAAATCATGCACAAATTTCTTGATCCGACAAAACCATGAGCCGTGTAACAAGTAAAAAACGATTTCTAAATGTCTAAAATTGTCTACTGTGTCGATCAGTGCAAAGGTAAACCCAAAGACACTCCTGCAAACATGTAACAAAAACGAGATTTTCCATTATTAATATTTATTTTATGTAACAGTCGTAAAAAATAGAGCCTTATGGTTTTTTTGCTTGTCTCTCGCGGCACAGTAAAAGCTAAATTTATAACGCGCCTGGGACCGTTCTTCTCGATGTAAAAGCCGTAAAGTTCAAAAACCTGGCAATTTGAATACCGCTATAAAAGTAAATGAATCTGCAAATTCGGATTTAACTTTCCCGTTAAAACATGTCTAGTCGCAAAAACTTTTCTTTTTTTTTTTTTGAAGGCGAACAAAAAAAGTTAAGTCGAAACCCGCCTGGAAGGGATTGAATTCGCTCGGTTTTTTCCGCGGTATTTATAAAACGAATTTTTTCAAAAGGGAGGTTGAGAAAGATCGGTATAAATTCTTTTCTGAAGTTTTTATTGGACGATGTAACTTCACGGCAAATCCGTTTCGGCGTCACAAATTTTTATCAAAGCCACGCTCCTCAAAACGAAATCGAAATTAACCTGTTGCGGTGGAAGTACATTTTAAAGAATTCTAGAAATAAAAACACTAAAACATATTGAAATTTAGAATCTTCTTATTATAACTTTGTTAGCCGTCCCGTTTTCTCTTCACCGGTAGTGTTTCGATTAAAAATTGTACACGAGTTGGTTCGTGATAAATGAACCAAAAGCAAAAATTGTGTTGTCGAAATTATTATATTGGGCTATCGACATGAAAATTTGGATCGGTTTTTAAATATATAATCTAGAGGGCGCGGTAATCGCGTTAATGTATGCTATAATATTTTGGGTAGTATGGTTAAATTATTTATTATTAACCAAAAGAAAGCGCTATCAACAACGGTGGTGCCAAGGAGAAATAACAATTTCGGAAACTAAACTTTAAGGTCTAGTCAAGTCATTAATGTGCGATATTTTACTGAGGTATATTTGACTCAACGTAATTTTTTTAGCGGTTCAATTTTGGTTTGATCTTTTCAGGTCGACATATATATATATATATATATATATATATATATATATATATATATATATATATATATATATATATATATATATATATATAACCGGTTTACTTTAGATGTTACAAGTTCTTTATCCAGAATTTGATGATACCATTTGTTTGCAGGATTTTAAGAACTAACATAGAAGCGCAAATAAGCAAACGACCATGTCACTAATCACAGAATGAATATAGCTTAAACTGTTAAAAATTAAATTAAATAAATGAATCAATAATTGATAACATACATTAAAAAACGTCGGCAAACTAACATAGGTTAAATCAATTGTTCAAGAAAGAAAAGAAAATATCATTTTTAAGAGAAATAGCCATTTTTCGTTTTTAATCTCGCAGCTCAAATATTTAAGAAACGCTGAGCAAACAATTTGGTTCGTTTCAAACCAAACAAACCGAAGTAAATGTAATGCTTCATTCGTCGGGGATAGTTTTAGATCAACCATTTATATATTTTCCTTAAGATTGCTGTTTATTCTATATAATCATTTAATTATATTATTTACATTGCGGCATTAAATTTTGAAATAGGAAGCAAATGACATCGACAACTAAGCGTTTTCATTTTTCATTTTTTAATTTTCATTGTTTGTGAGTTATTTATAAAAATATTTATAAAAACCACTTTTCCAGAGTTGTGCGTGTTGGTGATGTTTAATTTATTTGAAGTTAATTGTGCCTTTGCAAACAATGCTATTTTATCGCTGGATGGTCCAGAGTTATACCAACGTTAGTTAGTTAGTACGTATTGATTTGCGATGGATATAAATATAAAGCGCCTAAAATTGTATACAAGATTGATTAGAGACTCACAAGAGAAGTACGTATGTAATAATATTCTAAATTCAAATGGTCAACACAGTATATTATTTAACGTAGTATCAGTGGAAAGTGCAATGTTTTTTTATATTAAAATACCCACCTACGTACTGGTCGGGCGTGCACACAAGTGCCAAGACATCAACTTTGCTAAGCACTGTTGCGAACCCCTTCGGGCTTTTCTGGTATTTTAGTCACGGGTATGGGAGCGATACGATGTTTTCAGTAGTTTTAAACGTTGATGGTATTTTGATATTCATCAGTTCTAATAACCAAAACGTTCATCAACTTCTTCAGACACTCGTTTAATAAACACTCACACCGCTTCTGACAAAATGTTACTAATGCAATTTTATTCGTATTTTTGGGCTTTCTTATTATATAGCTGACGATGACGGAAAAAATCATGTATGTTTCTTAATGTGACAGTAAACCCTTTCGTATGAAAAACGTCCAAGCCTATGAATAACTTCTCATTTTATCGCTGCCCTTCGCCGGAAATGCCTCTTCACGTCTTTGCCATAGATTTTATACTCGACTAAGAACGTATTTCAACAGGCGCCAAGTTTAAAGCACACTTTAAATGCCCGAAAGGGATATCCTTGCTCCGCCTTAAGTGAATACCATTTTTTGGAAGAGTTTAAACGAGATTCAGGTAGATAAGAGATATATTTTAAAACAAAAAATATTAAAGCTTAATACGGAATGCCAGTATCAAATCACCTAA